AGTCAATACTGTTCTCTGTATACCTGGTTATAGGATGAAACCTGTCTCTACTGATATTAACTAACCATCTTTTCAACAGGTCAGGTTTGTCTAATAGAAACCTAAAAATACTTAAATATATTTTATTCTGTGTAAATATAACCTGAGTCAGAGAACAGTTAGATCACAGCCACACTCAGGTAAATAAAATATAATCTGCTCCTTGTGAAAGGAGACACTTCTCTTCTGTTACATCCAGAACACACAGATTTCTGACATTATTTCAAACATTAGATACATTATATAATATATATATTTAATGTCATTATTAATAATGACATTGTCAGTCCTTTCTTTTAGCAGTGATGGTAAATCCAGGCTCCTGCCTCTGGAAAATCTACGGGGGCGCGCGCAAAGGGGCGTGTCGCGGCGCGGAGCGCGGCGCGCGCTTTGCCTCCATGGGTTCGGGTGAACACCATACATGGGGAAAGCACCAGAACCTGRCCTGATGGTGAAGGGAACCCCCGGGAAACCCCCACATCATGTGAGGGGTGACTGGGCTCACAGCTGCAGTTTCTGGGTCACTGGTTCTGACCTGTCCTGATGGTTCATTAAACTTTAAGCTTTTAGAATAAAATGGGTTTCTTGACGTGTAAATCCAGAACCTTTAAACTGATCCGGATTTTTCAGTCCGAGCTGAAGCCAAGCTTCAAAACGAAAGTAATTTCTGACGAGCAGTAAACTGAATGAACAGATCTGACATGTAAACAACAAACTGACGTCATGTATAAATAATGTACCAGTAAACCTGCAGTCCGTCGACACTTGGTCATTTTCACAAGTCTTACCTGTAAAAAGTGTCAGACAGGTGAGGAGAACCAGAGGAAACACTGCTGGATCCATTCAGACTGATCCGTTCTGACGACTTGTTCTAATAAATAGTTTTAGTCTGATTTCATAAACACTCACTCAGGACAGCTGTACTTCTCTTTTATTGAGGGGAAGTGAGGAAAGTCCCAATAATATAAGTTTGTTCCTCTTAARGTGAAAATAGCCCGGATGGTTATGACGTCAGTTCAAACAGGAAGAGGAATCACGGGAGTTGCCCGGGTCATGAACGTGAAATTCACAACTNGTGAAAATAGCCCGGATGGTTATGACGTCAGTTCAAACAGGAAGAGGAATCACGGGAGTTGCCCGGGTCATGAACGTGAAATTCACAACTGCAGTATGGCAAGCCACTTTAACATAAAATACACAACGCCTGCATCGCAAGCCATTTTAGCCATTTTAACATAAAATTCACAACGCCTGTATGGCAAGCCATTTTAACATAAAATTCACAACACGGTATGGCAAGCCACTTTAACATAAAATACACAACACCTGTATGGCAAGTCATTTTAACATAAAATTCACAACACAGTATGGCAAGCCACTTTAAAATAAAATACACAACGTCTGCACCGCCAGCCATTTTAGCAATTTTAACATAAAATTCACAATCCCTGTATGGCAAGCCATTTTAACATAAAATTCACAACGCCGGTGTGGTAAGCCATTTTAACATAAAATTCAAAACACTATATGGCAAGCCACTTTAACATAAAATACACAACACCTGCATCGCAAGCCATTTTAGCCATTTTAACATAAAATTCACAATGCATGTATGGTAAGCCATTTTAACATAAAAATCAAAACACTGTAAGACAAGCCATTTTAACATAAAATTCACAATACTGTAAAGCAAGCCATTTTAGCCATTTTAACATAAAATTCAAAACACTGTATGACAAGCCATTTTAACATAAAATTCACAATGCCTGTATGGCAAGCCACTTTAACATAAAATACACAACGTTTGCATCGCAAGCCATTTTAGCAATTTTAACATAAAATTCACAATGCCTCTACGGTAAGCCATTTTAACATAGAATTCAAAACACTATATGGCAAGCCACTCTAACATAAAATACACAACACCTGCATCGCAAGCCATTTTAGCTGTTTTAACATAAAATTCACAATGCCGGTATGGCAAGCCATTTCAACATAAAATTCACAATGCTGTAAAGCAAGCCATTTTAGCCATTTTAACATAAAATTCACAACTCCAATATGGCAAGCCATTTTAACATAAAATTCACAATGCTGTAAAGCAAGCCATTTTAGCCATTTTAACATAAAATTCACAACGCCGGTATGGTAAGCCATTTTAACATAAAATTCAAAACACTGTATGACAAGCCATTTTAACATAAAATTCACAACACGGTATGGCAAGCCACTTTAACATAAAATACACAACGCCTGCATCGCAAGCCATTTTAGCAATTTTAACATAAAATTCACAATGCCTTTATGGCAAGCCATTTTAACATAAAATTCACAACGCCTCTACGGTAAGCCATTTTAACATAAAATTCAAAACACTATATGGCATGCCACTTTAACATAAAATACACAGCGCCTGCATCGCAAGCCATTTTAGCTGTTTTAACATAAAATTCACAATGCCGGTATGGCAAGCCATTTTAGCCATTTTAACATAAAATTCACAATGCTGTAAAGCAAGCCATTTTAGCCATTTTAACATAAAATTCACAACGCCGGTATGGCAAGCCATTTTAGCCATTTTAACATAAAATTCACAATGCTGTAAAGCAAGCCATTTTAGCC